CCCATATAATTCCAGACAATTTTTATATATAGCCATTAATAGCCATGTTCCTTTAGATATTTTGTGAATTTCAATTCACTTTTCGAAGTGCTTTCATTTCACATCCCAACCATTTATTCCGGAGCTCAAACAAATGAATTTGTCTTTCCATCTCAGTACCACAATCCTCTCTTACAAGTTAATTTTCAAACGTTTATAAAAAATTTCCAATATTAAACTGTTCCTTTGCCTAGGGCATTAAAATAATATCGGCTTGTTACACCACCAAGGGGACGTCTGGCAAAAAAATATCCCTCCGATATAAAAGTAACCTCTCCCAATAAATTACAAAATTAAATAGCGCCTTTTTTACATTCCCTTTCATGCGTCCGGCTTTCGAATAGTCACTTGGTTCCGCCCCAGGGATATCTGACCGGATATTACTCGAGGGCAATAAGGACCTTTTGGTCCGAATCAAGTCAAGTGAGGATCAGGGACATTTTCGCTATATGTTCGATGGCATTCGGCTATTTGGGAAGCTTATGGAATATTCTTTTGTTATACTTTTAAGGCACTTAATACAGAAGTCGAGAATATTTGTCAAGTGCTTACTATAAAGCTTTTATTAGTCGCAGGTTTAGACGTTTCGTATTTGTTCTTTGAGAGGCTCCGGCTTAATACACCAGTCGAATTAGAGTTTGAATGTGAAAAAATTATTAGTATGTAGGCATTTTATTACACTTTATGACGGGGAAGGTTATGTAGAATAATAATATCAAAAAAGCAAATCGGAAGAAGTGACGTTAAGTTGGCAAATTGCAAATACCTAAGTGGCAAATTTATATGTTTTTTTTTTACTTTTTGAGCGAGGAAATATAAGTTTTCGAAAAATTGCGCAATATTACTGCAAAAAGCCATGGATGTTGATGAAATTTATGGAAAATACGGTCGGTATTGACCCGTGAAATTGTTGCTTCAGTTATTTGTTAATTAATTTCGTTTATCCAACACTTGTATACAATGATACTATAATTTCTTTGGTTTTAAAGGAACAATGTGGCCTATAAGTTACTAGTGAGTTATAAGTCATAAGTCACTAGTAAGTTATGACTTATCACCCACTAGTAACTTATAGAAGTCATAAAAAGACAAATGTTTGGTTTATTTTTCTAGTTTTTATTAGAAAAACAATTTGAAATAGTAATAAGTGAACAAATAACCTAAAATGCTACAAACTTACAATCTACCTACTTATTAATATTAACATTAACATTTATGGTAATGCCGTAATTTGATGCCAAAGGATTATTGGCAGCATTTTGTGATTGTGGTAAATTTATAGAACTTGCTTCAGAAGTCTGCACCCCTTGTATATTTTTAGCAATATTAATTTTGCTGGAAATTGACTCTATATAACCTTCTGCCACGGTAGATGACTTCCATCCACCATGGCGTTTGAGTGTTATAATATCCCCTCCAGCATTGGCCAAGAGAGTTGCAGATGGGCGACGCACTCCGTGCCCTGTATACAGGGTGATTCAGTCATAATGTCATTAATTTTAAGAGCAGATAAAAAAAATGAGTATAATACGATGGCGTGATTAAAAAAAATTAAATGCATATTTAAGTTGAAAAAAAATATTTTCAAATCATTATTTAACCCCCTTTTCAGGCTGTTATTGACCGGCTGACGTCAGCCGGCTACGATATGAACAAAGCGACCTAGATGCAATGTTGCCATATTTATATATTTTCGCACATATAAAGACAATAAATAAACGGTTTGCTCACGTCAGCCAATAATAATTTAAAATGCTATAAATTATTTTTTTATAATTACCTATGCAATTAACATATTAAATTGTTATTGTTGCCCAGCAAGAACCTCGAGGAGGTCTGAATATGACTTGCCAAAAAAATTTTTTTATTAACATCATAGTGATAATTTTTTAATTTGCTGTAAGTCTTCTACTAAAAATTGAAAGTAATGCGGCCCATTCACATGTTCAGGTAGAAAATGCGGCCCAATTAAACGATCGCCATATACTCCTGTCCATACATTGACACCGAACATCCTCTGAAAGCTAAACCGACGAGTAGTGTGCGGGTTTTCATCTAACCAAATGTGACTATTATGTTCACTTTAAATAAAATTTAATATTGAAGTTACAAAACCCCAAGAGTTCAAATAATTTAAATTTCATTTCATAACCATTTCAATTTCATTACAGAAATAATGACATAAAAACCAACACTCACTAGATAAATTATAAAGAGAGGGTGAAATGTATGTAGTATTTAAATATTAGACTGTAAGTAATAGAAGATAAAAATACAATCGGACGGAGACAAATAAACAACTCGGTACGTGTTTCCGACCTAGGCTAACCTGTGTCGAGGTCAATAACCTTCTAATTTGCACTTGTGCACTTTAGTCTAGGAGCCAGACAGGGTTCCGTTGCCAACCAGAGTCCCACGGCTGCAAACAACTTATTCTAAAGTATTTTGACCTCCTAAATCCTCCTAAAAACTTGGTCGTAAAGCCTGAAAGTGATCAGTATAATTGTTATCAACAAATTAAATGTTTAAATGGCTGTACAAAGTTTATTTTTATAGCTAGTACACGGAACCTGATCTGGCTCCTAGACTAATACGAACTGTAGTAGGATCGTATTCCATGCAAAGTAGAGCAAAAAGTTGTCGGTCTTTTATCAAAGGAAAATCGTGTCATCAATGAATAGGGATGATTGTTTTCGAATGTACGGTTATTACAATTTATCATTTTTAATATTATTAACGTTTTCACGTTTTATAATTTATTATGTTAAATAATGTTTTAGTATTTTAGTTTATTATTCAATATACAGTTGCGTATAACCAAAGTTTACATAATAAATGTAAACTTTAGTGTAAATCTAAACTTTGGTGTAACCTAGGTAGGCACTTATTTTTTAAGACACATTTTCCATTTTTTCACTCTTGGTTTTAGGAATTCAACTTGATTTCAGCTCAAAAAATACACCAACCCTTGGTTAGCGACACAATTTAGGTTGACACTCGCATACTTTGTAATATTTAAAAATACATTCATTTCGTTAAATTGTGCAAAACAGCGTTATAAACAAATTGACCCAGGGTCAGGCAAAAGCCGCTCGGGAATTCGCTCTTTTTGAATTAAACATAGCTTATTTTTACGGTAATATAAGTGCATTACAGGCTTCGGATATTTTAGAGGTAAACAACACAGTAAAGACCACTTACTGACCATAATACTTAGGGCCGGTTTCACCAATCTTCATTAAAGTTTAATGATCCGTTAAAATACAGTTAAAGGGACCATTAAGAATATGACAGTTTCACCAATAGTCGTTAAGATATAAGGAATTGTTAAAGCTTCGTTAAATTAAGGAACGAAATTTCAGCGATTAATATTTTAATGAACGATTAGAAAATAACTTAAAAATTGTTGAAAGTACTTAATTATTAGTTACATGTAATTATTATTAAGATGGGAGATTTTGACGTCGAATTATTGTATTTGGAATTATTAGAGAACGAGGTCCAAATTAATGGCAACATAAGGAAAAATATTTTTGAAGAACTGGACGATGGAAAATTTCTAGAAAGATATCGCCTGTCCAAAAAAGTAGTAATAAAAGTTTTAGAAGAAATTGAGCCTGCATTAGAATATGCAACAGATAGAAACTTTCCATTGACTCCTATCCAACAATTGTTGATAGCTCTGAGGTTTTATGCTACCGGATCGTTCCAAACAGTTATGGGTGATGTACATGGAATTTCAAAGGCAACTGTGTGCCGTTGTGTCAAAAAAGTTTCAGAAGCAATAGCTTCCTTACGAGAATCTTATATAGAGTTTCCACAAAATGAAGAATTGGGAACTGTCGCAAAAAAATTTTTTGAATTAGGACGATTTCCTGGAGTTATTGGAGCTTTGGATTGTACCCACATACCAATACTATCACCTGGAGGTAATATGGGTGAAATATTTAGAAACAGAAAAGGTTACTTTTCAATAAATGTACAAGCAGTATGTGATGCCAATTTGTTAATCCGAAACATAGTAGTGCGATGGCCAGGATCAGTACATGACAGTACAATTTTTAACAATAGTCATTTGAGTCTCCTATTTGAAAATGAGGGAATACCAAGAGGATTCATTTTGCTTGGTGACAATGGCTACCCTCTGCGGCCATTTCTTATGACTCCACTGTTAAACCCTGAAACACAGGCTGACCAAAGATATAACAATTCCCACAAAGCAACAAGGAATTGCATAGAAAGGACTTTTGGAATTTTAAAAAGAAGGTTTCCTGCTTTATCATTAGGACTAAGAACAAAAATTAATACATCGTTAACCATTATAGTTGCTATAGTAGTGTTACACAATATTGCTCGACTAACAAAAGATGAAGACCCTCCAGAAGATGCCGATTTACATAATAGTTTGCAGGAACGAAGACTAAGTGAACCAAATTACTTACTTTATCAAAATGTTCCAGTTGCACCAATATTAGATGCAAATAGTCCTGGTACAGCAATAAGAAATGCATTAATAAATAATCATTTTACTTAATTATATGGCATTGTTTAAGTATGTATTTTTAGAGTAGTTGTTTAATAAGTTTCTACATATTTATTTTACTTACCTAGTTTAAGAAATAAAATATTAATTTGATTCGTTTTTAATTCTGTACTCTTGTTTTTAGTTATCTCCGAGATGTGAAACTAGTAATTTTTGTATATATCACTATATTGAGTGTAATATTCATCAATTAATTTTGAAGTTTAATGTTTCTATTGAATTAATGTCCTTAAATAGATTCTTTAAGGTGTGATTTCAAGAGTAAACATAGCCTATTCTTGTAATGTTGCTGCATATCTCTTTTTAGTGCAGTATGATTCAGTTTACTGTTTTGATTAAATCCCAAATATTTATATTATTATTATTATTATTAAAAAATAAACCAACCACAATAAGTTATGTAGAAATTTATTGAATATTATTTGTTTTTGTAATATAGTAATTTTGCTTGTAATACTTGAGACCGCTTTTCTTCATTTTCTATTTTTAGTTTCAATAATTTCATCTCCTCTTCATGTTTACTTAGAAGCAAAGACTTCTCCATTTCCACTAAACTTGACTTATTAGAAGCCAATAAGGCGATATTTTCTCTTGCTTCCACAACAGCAGTCTTCTTTTTGTTTTTTATAGTTGGTGTATTTCTTGTTACCCAGGATTGTTGACCATCTAAAAATAAAAAGCATATGAATGTTTTATTTTCAATAAATCGGATACTTTCATTTTTCTTTATGCATCTTTTGACTTGTAGCACTTAATTCAATAATGAAACACTGAGCTCATTTTTGTGTGAGTAAATAGATAAAAATAATTTTATTTTTTATAAATGGAACAGTCCATACTTGCAATGTTAAAATTGTTTTCCTTATCTTGCTTACTAGGAGTAGTTACCAAGTTCTCCTTGAATGGCAACTCTTTTTCAGCAGTGGTTGGAGCTGAAAACACCATATAATAGTAAACACATTATTTATTTATTCTTTTAAACATACCAGAAGTGCTTGCAAAATTTTCATGGCCATCATCAGACACAATATATATATACTCCAGATTATCCTCGAAAGCTACAAACAGCAATATTCATTACTAAGTCAAGCTAAAAAGCTTATGTTGAAGATATTTAAAACTTACATTTGTTTACGTTTTACAAAAATAGCATAATTGTTTTAATTATGCCAACAGATCACAATTATGCAATAAGTATTTCTGCCATATACAAGATGTAATTTATTCAAATTTAATGAATATATTTAAATTTAGTTGCTTTATACAACCGAATATTAAACTCACCTGATGAACTAGGATTTTCTATTTGTTTCTCTATTTGCACTGAAGGCTCATTATCTGTAATAATGTTATCATATAATATATACATATTATGTACCTATTTATTTGAGTAAAACGTTACTGGCCAAAGAGATATTGTACAACTATTAAAAAAATACTACGTAAATTACCTTCAAACTTGCTGTCACTATCGTAAATATTTTTTAGTGGTTCCATTTGTGGTTGAACAATGGATAATACTTTTTCGTCGATGTCATCCATTGTTTTTATGAATTCTCCACCACCAGTTAGAAATCGTGATTTTTTATCTGTTGCATATTTTTTTTTAGAAGTTCTTTTCATATTATCATATAATCTAAAAAATATTGAAAACTGTACAAATTCTGTCAAATTACATAAGAAATATAAAACATGCAAACCATGTTAGTACCTGTACATTATATAAATTTACCTTTTTAAGTGACCCATGTCTCGTTTCTGCACTTGAACATTGCAGTTAAACATACATGTTACCTTTTGCCACATTTCTTCCTTTTTTCTAATTGTCACCCCGTCTGTCTTTTTATTCTCTATTATATTTTTAACTTCGGGTGTAGCCAATATATTCAAAAACAATTCTTTTTCGAAAGTAGAGAAATTGCTACATCTCTCTCGCTTCCTTTTTGAATCCATTATGACTTATCAACTTACTTAATTAACTACAAATTTTCAATACCAAATATTGTTATGTTTAAAACATAGCACTACAAGTATCACATTTAAGGTTATGTTTTGTGTTAAATCAACGATATCGTAACTGAGCAATAGAACATTAGATAAACAGTTTAAAAATAACAGATCGGTAACAAAATAAAGTGGAAAACACTAGAACTATTCAATGTTGCCAAATATTATCAATGATTAACTAACGGTTTATTAAAAATGGTTGGTGAAACACTCATACATTTAATCAACTGTTAAATATTAACGAATAATTAGTTAACAACTGATTAATGAATATTTAGCAAGGCTTGGTGAAACCGGCCCTTAATATACAATTACCTAAGATAACATAAAAAAACCGGTATCTTATTCTCAATAATATATCTTTATAATTAATGCTATGCTGCTCTAACAATATTATAATTATTGTAAATATCGGTTTATTATTAGAAATTAAACTAATATTTTTGTTGAAGATAATATAATCCGGAACAGGGTAAGAAAATAATGGTCTTGATTTTCTGACTAAGTCAAAGTCATACTGCTTCAAACAATTTCACAGACTGACAAAACACTAAGCCAAACCGCATTTCGAATGTCAAGTGCATTTTGTACAAATATAACTAGTTTTTTAAGTTTCTTGTAATTTAAAGTTGACGAACAAATATGAGAACTAATTACAAACTAAAACCGCGCTGCACATACACTGTAATCTTCTGGTAATGCAACGGAAACTTTGTATTAACTTTCTATCAGAAGAAAATAAAGCAAATAACTCAAAAGGAGAATAACTTTCTAGTAATTGCCATCCTCCACGTTACTTACTAATAATTACTTTATAGGATGATGAAACTCTCCAACAAATTTTAACAAGTCCCACAGACGGTGCATGCAAAATTAAACAGGAAGATAAACACGGCTTTGTGAACTTAATTACACAATTGCAGCGAACCGAAATTCATTAGGAGGCTACCCCCCTGATCCTTGTTTTCCTCAACTCGATCTAGTAGTCCTTCTCCATCTATTAAGCGTCCTTTGAATGGTTAGACGTAAACATGAAGAAGGGAAAAGCAAACATGTTCTCTGTTTTCTGGGTAAATATCTCGCTTTGCCAAAGCTTAATGCTAGCACAGCTTTAATAGAGCGTTTATGGGCGGATGTTTTCGCTTGAAATGTCGTTAGAGAATTAACGTTTGATTTAAGAAATATGCTTTGAATATTTTCAGAAACAAAATTCGGAAGATAGTACTACGAATTTCCTTCCAAATTTTGCGATGAATGGGAAAATTTACCAATCAAGCAAACATTTTTAATTGAACAATTTTTCTCGTATCTCGAATTGTATTGGTTTACTCCATTTTAAAGGTGCTAAAAAAACATTTAAATATCTCAATGTTTAACATAAATTAATGAATCATGGAATTCGATTTTTAAAAGACTGTTCAACATACAATGTTTTGAATAAAATATAGTACTGAAATTAATGTACGTATTCTGTCCCCATAATATCCAGTAATGTCGAAATTCTGGGATTCTTGGTAAAGTAATAGCTTCTCCGCTAGGTACTGGTTGATATATTTGTGTACCCACATATATGATGACTGTTAAATAATATTAATATGCCGGTGCTTCTTCCACACAATGCGTGAAATGTTAGAATATCCTCGACTTCAAACAAGCCAACGGAATTTTTTGTAATTCCTTAAACCCTATAAAACGGCCTCATAATCAGATTACGAGTTAATTGCGGATTGAATTAAATTTTAATTATCCCGAATTAACGTGTAATTTGGAGAAAACGCGCCGACGTCTGGCGAAAATAACATTTTGATATTTAATCCCGACTTGAACTCTATTATGTCTCTCATTCTTCAGTGATTTCGAGGCTCAGCACTTATGGAATTGAAGCGACTCCTTTAATATGTTACCAAGCTAATCGTCTTCAAGGAATTGTAATTAAATTTGCTAGACTTTCGAATATATTAAATTATCAACTATTGCCGTTCCAAGCTAAGAGTCCTACAAAAAGTCTCTATACCAGTTAAATTGGGAGTTTGATTTACTTTTATTAAGGTGTCATAATTTTCTTTGAATCGACGACGTCACTGTACTTATAGACCTTAGACCAGTATTCTTCCTACATTGTCAAAAGTGTTTGGAAAATCTGCCAATAAACAAATAAGATTTGAAATAGAAAAAATTCAAATGTTTCACATGGCTATTTGAGTTTTTTATTAAAATTATAATAATACTCACTATCTTGGTTATTTATTTATAAAAACCCCATAAATTATTCATCGTTGTAAAGAGAATTTCCCCTTTCTTCTAATGAGGTAAAAATATGGCGTCCATAAGAAAATCAAAAGTTATCAGCACACATTTTTAGAGATACGTTAATACTGACAACAAAAATCGATTCCTTACTTCATTTAATATCAGACTATACCAAAATTTTGAAAAACAAGTGAAATACGACTAAAAATAGCATAAAATCGGTTTTCTTCGGAACTATTCGGAATTTTCTAAATTCTAATCATCGTGTGGTTGATCCTGGCGTTCCACAGGGGTGCATTTTAGGTCCCTTATTCTAAATTACACTTTCATGCTGATGAGACCCATTTGCATCACTCTTTTATAGAAAATGAAATATGTGTCGTTATAAGAAGGGAAAGTGTATCAATCAATATTAGAATAAATCATATTGGAAAAATATCACGCCAGATGGCTTCCTACCTGAAATTACCAGGCCCTAAAACCTACACGGGGCAATGTAAACAACGAGATTGGAATAGCAAAGAAAGTCAGTGGGGTTGAAAAAAATTATTAAAATTGACGAATCAATATAGAGACTGATTCGACTACAACAATGCAATTAAAATAGATGTTGATGTGACATATTTGTTTCCATTCTTTTGAAGATATTTACATAACAACCAAATTTTTAAACATGGAAAACACGTTTTCTAATTAAAATGTCTCTACAGGTGACATTTTTACCCTTCACTTCATTTTTAAACTTCTATAAATAGCACCCCTTTTAAGCTTGGCGAAGGTTTACTTTTATTTTAATTATAATTTACTAAATTTAAAAGATCAAGGCACCTTTCTGTTTTGATGGTCATTGCTATCCTTGTTATGTAAGCATTAAAGGGTCAAACGAAATGTCAATCATTATTTTCAAAGCTAAATTTACACTTTTATTGAGAGTGAGAATTAGGAACAGTCAGTCAAAGAAAAATTGCGAATACATTTCAAAGATTTTGTTAATAATAATTTGGAAATTACGTTAAATAGAAGAAAAAAGCAAATTCCAGTAGATTTATCTACTTTAATTAAATCATGTTATATTTAGTGATATAATTTTTGCTAGTTCAATTAAAAAAACATCCAGTACATTCTATCTCTTTGCAGTTTGCAGTACGTTTCTTATTCTTCGATATAGACGAGTACCGTAACAAAAGACCCAGAAATTGCCATGGAACGTCGAAACGTTAACGACGAGATCTAATATCCATCCCAACTTTAGATGCGCGAGTAAGCCAAAATAAAGTAACGTGATTGAAAAATCCAATCCGGGGGAAAATGGATTTATGTAGAAAGGCCGGCTACTTCAATATTGGATTCTAAAGTCTAGCTAAATCAAAGACCTAGAGGACTTGCCTCCTCTTTTTAGATAAATGAAGTTTGTCCGGTTTTCCATTGGAATCTGCTTCGGTAATGTGTTTTTAACTGAATATCGGGAAATATTTGAATATGAATTCCGCAAGGTATCGTAGGAAAGGATTTAATAAGGAGAAATAAAATTATTTTATCTACAATCTCCTTATAATCGAACTGTTATCCAACCTTCTAAAGTTATACTTTATCCACTAGTGGAATAAAATAACTTTATTTCAGTAGTAAAATAATAAACCTATAATAAATTAAATTTAATTTATTTACTTATTCACATTAACGTTTACATTTATAGTAATAGACACTTCGTTTTTTGTTTTATCACATTTAACTTCCTTTCCGTTAATAACAACCCTTGTAGCATTGTTGCCACCATTTTCGGAACGCATAACATCTGCCAAAGTTTGTGAAGAATTTGCAAAAGTTACGGATGTCTCTTCTTGTAAGAAACAGCTATATTATCCTTGGATTTTCCTTTCAATATCAACATAACTTTCTGCTACAGAGGAGCTCTTCCATCCACCATTGTAAGATCAGTACCTTTATCGACCAATAAAGCTGTTGAAGTGCGCCTCATACAATTGCCAGTATATGCTTCTGGATTTGCGATATTCAGGAATGAAGCAACTACTTCGCGAATTTTTTATTGTTGTATCTTAAAAAGAATATATCTTGTGTTAGGCGAATTGGACGCAGAGAAATGTATTTTCTGCATATTTCAACAGCAATCACGAAAACCCTTCTTCTACAATTGTAAATTTTCTTCACAGGCCCGTCTTGATATCAGGTACTGAACGTCACTAATTTTCAAATTTGTCAATTCGCAGCTTCGACAGGCACCAGAAACCCTCATTATTAGTGCAACCTTAAATAATTCAATATATAAGTTCACTAT